GTCTATTCCTAAAATTAGCCGATTCGTAATAGTGGGGATAACAAAAATTTTCAAAGCTTTTTTTACGGCTTGGTATTCGACAATCGCGCTTAGATAACCACTGACTGAATGTGGTTTACCGTAAGCGGTTTTTACCGTGGTCTTTAAGGGATGAAATTGCGAATATTTAGAAAAATCTGTTTTCGCCAAATCTGTTCCCACACAGGAAACATTGGCACCGGTGTCCAGCATGCCTAACTCCTCAAAGTCTAAAAACTTAACTTTGGCATACAATCTATTATCGATCGTATTTTCGAACACGGCTGAAAGGAAAAGCTTTCGTGTCGGTTTGACATTCTTATAATAATTACGTATTCTTGCGGTATTTCTTTTGGATTTCAACGTAGGTGGCTGACTAAATATCCTATTCTTAGCTTCTAAATAATTTTTTAGTCTTTCATGATAGGGCAACATGTGGCTTGGTAAAGTATTATCGTTACTCGTAGCGTTGTGACTCGTGAAAGGGGCAATTACTTTCGATTCGGAATTGTTAATCCGAATCGACAGATCTGGGTTATTTTGAATTATATTGGCAGTGTTCAGTTTGGGTGCGTACGAGGTGGTCGAACCGCACCCCTCTTCAAGTTTTCCAAACGACGAGCGGCACAAGTTTGGCANAAAAGTATTGTCGTTACTCGTAGCGTTGTGACTCGTGAAAGGGGCAATTACTTTCGATTCGGAATTGTTAATCCGAATCGACAGATCTGGGTTATTTTGAATTATATTGGCAGTGTTCAGTTTGGGTGCGTACGAGGTGGTCGAACCGCTCCCCTCTTCAAGTTTTCCAAACGACGAGCGGCACAAGTTTGGCATTGAGGTTTGTACATTCCTGGATCACTACAGCCATAACAAAATATGCTGCGTTCAGCAAGGCAATCTTGCCAATGATGACCATCTTGGGAGCAGTTCCAGCATTTAGTAATATTCGCTTGCTGTAATGCAGCGACTTCCAATGCGGACTCTATGTGCCCATCCCCTTCCGGAAGCTCATCTTCCTCGATACTTGAAATATTTCGTCTGAAATTGGTCTCTGCTAACTGCCTGGAAATCGGAGTCCGTCGAAAATTCTCGTCGGCTAAAAGATTTTCTCTCATTTGACAAAGTTTTCTCAACTGTGCAANTCAGGTAACTAATGTTCGGTAACGTAATTTAACGGCTGAGTTGAAAGAGTGGAAAAAAAATTTAGGTTATGGATTTATTTTAGCACAGATGCAACAAACGGTTNAGAAGCTCATCTTCCTCGATACTTGAAATATTTCGTCTGAAATTAGTCTCTGCTAACTGCCTGGAAATCGGAGTCCGTCGAAAATTCTCGTCGGCTAAAAGATTTTCTCTCATTTGACAAAGTTTTCTCAACTGTGCAATAGAGCGAACGTTGACATATAACAGTTCGTGGCGAATTTGAGGTTTTAGATTTCGGGTTAATATTTCTATTAACTCCTCTTCCTCTAGGGGGCAAGATAGCCTGTCACACATCAAAGAAATATCATCATAAAAGGCCTCAAATGTCTCACCGGGCTTTTGTTTTCGACTTCTAATTTGTTCCCTGATATCAAAATTGGACCTATAATCTCTATATTGGTACCGTATGGCAGCACAAAAATCTTGCCACTCGATAATTTCATTTTGCTTATGAAAGCGCCAATACCATTCGCGGGCCTTTCCGGTTAGAAGCAAAGGTATATGTTTACATAGTAAATTGAAGTCTCCGTTCAAGTGAATCTCTGTGAGAGCTCTAACACGATAGAGAAATTCTTCTACAGTTAATTCCTTGGAGGATCCATTATATTTTATATTCCAATGCTGTATTATATTTATCACTTTATCCGTACGAAGGTTCGAACAATTCGGGTTAGTAATATTATTACTATTAGCAAGGTAACGAGGGTCGTTAGATTGGCGTATGTAAGCCTGGGTTTGTAACCTATCTTGGTCGAGATTTAACCCAGCTAAAATTTTCCTAACGTTTTCTTCTACCATTTGTGATATTCGATCGGAATCCACTACGGCACCAGAGTCGCGTACTTGATTATTTAGGTTACGTTGCGTATTGGAGACGTTAGTTACATCCCTATCGACTGAATCACCTACTGGCATGGACAGGTTTAAGGAACGAGGGCTTTGCGCAACTTGCTGATTATTATCACCTTCTATTAACGACTGGGAGCTGGGAGGGTTATTACGACGCCTATTGCGAGTTAATTGTCTATGCCCGCGCCCTCGAAAATTGGTACCTTGTCTACTTTGAAAGCTTTGCTCAGCCGGCTTGAGGGTAATTGGTATGCAGTCTTTAACATGACATAATCTTTTGCAACAAGGACATTCGTGTTGCTTTTCAAGCCAAGTTCCTATACATTCCCGGTGATATACGTGGTTGCACAAAGTAATTACACAGTCTTGCATCTCAGTCATTGTTTCTTGACAAATGGCACAGTCACATGACTCTTTAGCCACTGCAGACAGGGCTGGAATGTTTTCTGCACTTCGGGTAATCGGCATTTTTTTTTTAAGAGTAAAAAAAATGTATTAAACAAATAAGTTACTTTAAATAAAAGCAGTTACTAAAAAATTTTTTTTTTTTTTTTTTGTGCTAATGTATCGGTTCCTCACTTATGATTTTCAGGTAACTAATGTTCGGTAACGTAATTTAACGGCTGAGTTGAAAGAGTGGAAAAAAAATTTAGGTTATGGATTTATTTTAGCACAGATGCAACAAACGGTTGACAATTAGCATTATAATTCGGCAAGCAGTCTTTGAACTGCTGTTAGATTTAAATTAATCTGTCTTCCTGAATCTTACTTAACCAGAACATAACTAAAAGGAAAAACAAAACATGGTTCCTTTAATTGCGGTTTGTTGTCCGAGCCTTTACCAGACAGCTAAATTTCCAGCAAAAATTAACCAAAAAGACAAAGGTGTGTAATCCGTTTTCTAGCGGCAAACATCTTTGGAATTAGATCCANTATATAAAGCTGGTTATTATGTTATTTATAAAAAACCCGGAAAAATTAATTCAATTAAGTACTATCAAAATTTAAATGTATGCCTATATACTTAAGTTCATCAACGAAAAAAAAACTTCTACCGGCATGTATGCAGGTTAATCCATATATGTAAATATGTATGTACATGTATATGTCCGTTTAGTTCATTTATATTATTTCATTTACGTTCTTACATGCATGTACATAAATATGTACATAGCTGACCGCGGCAAATGATAAATCAAAACAAGTGCAAAATGTAAATAAGACAAAACCAGCGGAAAAATGCCGGTGACACAGGAGCGGGTGCTTAACGATCTTAAGCAAAGCTTTTCTCAATCCGCTCCAATGTCAAGCTGGTGTACAAAAAATAAAACAAAGAAAAGTTGATAGCAAAGTGTATATAATAACTTACCCACTGATTTGCAGCTCACGTTGAAAGGCCTTTCTTGTGGTTGTTGCAGTGGAGAGTTAACCTGTTTATGTAGACTTGAAGAAAACTTATGCGTGCAGTTTTTTTGTTGTTTTAATTGTTTTAGTTTAAATTCTTTTTTCTTGTTTTTGTGTTGTTCGATTGGATTTAAGCTACCGGCTTAAAGTATGTTCTCAATACGTGGGTGGCCGCGTGACTTTTGCACTACGGTGAATTTATAAGCTAAATTGTAATTTTTGTGTAAATTTTCAATGCACTAAGGTCGATTATGATGATACATATGCAAAGCCACAGAAGGGAACTACTTTAAATTATAAAAAAAATGTTTTTTTTTTTGTTTTGTATGAATTTCGATACCGCATGTAGTGTATATTCAGTACATTTATCTATTTTTTTGTTTTGAACTTAGTAATTATTTTTTTGACGAAATTTTCAATTGATTTTTTCCTTGATATCCAGTAGTTTACATAAAGGTATTCCCAAATTCCTACTCCGCGTGGTTTCTACAAATTTTAATTAANAAATTTTCAATTGATTTTTTCCTTGATATCCAGTAGTTTACATAAAGGTATTCCCAAATTCCTCCTCCGCGTGGTTTCTACAAATTTTAATTAATTTCTATTTTTTTTTTGCAATTGTTATTGTTCTTTTATATCCAGGCTTTAACTTTATCTCTCTACGTATGTGCGTATATATCATCAGAATTGTTTTTTTTTTCAAATGCACTTTTCGGGGAGCTTATCGATGCAGTTTTCGCATATTTTGGGAATGTTAAAAATTTGGTAATTAATTCATAAATTACACAGGTCTGCAAAAAAATGGGTTCGGAATGTTCTATAAAAGTGTAGTGTCATTTCCGAAGTAATTTTTTGCGTAGAATCCGAATCCGGGGTTTAAATTGCTCTATCACGTCAGGACTTTGAGATATCCTAACCTAAAAGTGCAAAAAACGCTGTTTTTGCCCATTTTTGAGGTTATGTAGCTACGAAGATTTTGCTCTTCATAAAAAAGTAGACGTGGTATTTTAAAGTATAAGTCTTCCTCTTTTAAATGCCGTTGAGTTTGCTTAAATATCTTTATTTTTCACTGAGATATCGCATTTTGAAGTCTCCATGTTTGTGAATGTAATCGACCGTATCACGTCTCATGTTATCTCAATGGATTTTCGAATATCGAAAAATTCACAAACATGGAAACTTCAAAATGCGATATCTCAGTGAAAAATAAAGATATTTAAGCAAACTCAACGGCATTTAAAAGAGGAAGACTTATACTTTAAAATACCACGTTTACTTTTTTATGAAGAGCAAAATCTGCATAGCTACATAACCTCAAAAATGGGCAAAAACACCGTTTTTGCACTTTTAGGTTAGGATATCTCAAAATCCTGACGTGATAGAGCAATTTAAACCCCGGATTCGGATTCTACGCAAAAAATTACTTCGAAAATGACCCTACACTTTCCTAGAACAAAACGTTGTTGACCTGTGTTATTAATATTATTTTTTTTTATTTTTTTATTTTTTTTATGGACGATGTAGGCTTTTTTCCCCCAAGCGCCCCGGGGGGGTGAGCTGTGTATCAATTTCCTAAGCTTGGGCAGCTAGGAAAAAACGACGAGACCGCGTGGCCAGCATGTGGCCTGATACTGAGGACCGGTGTGATTTGGGCACGGGACAGTAGTTTTCCTCTTGTTGCTATCGTGAATCTGTGCACAAAGAGTACAATGAGGGAAGCAGTAAAAAAAAGGCGTATAGAATAAATGAGCTTTTAGCGTATTACCTTCTTTTGGTTTTTGTTTGCTAAAGCAATGAATGATTTCCAATCTCCTGTGATGGCAGACTCAGTTGCAAACTTTGAGTGTCTCAATAAATGAGCGCTGTTTTAATAAATGAGCGCTAACATGCCCAATGAATTACGATGCACTTTTAACACCAAAAAAAAAAGGAAAACTTACTAACCTATCGAATTGATAGCAGGAAAAAATTAAGTAAACTACTTACAGTTATGTTGCAAGATTTTAATGGTGGATTTTAGACACCCTCGAAGTGATCCTACTTGGTCTGCAGTTGAAATGGAAAGGAAGTAACTACTTTCCGTAAAGCAGTCTTGAACTCTCGGCTTCGGCAAATATACAGTAAAAATGTCATGGTTGGTACTACTGTTTTGACCGAAAAAGTACTTTTTCTACCCATTGTAGTATGGATATATACAAATATCGCATGCGAGAATTTTTTTTACGTGTAGGGTTGCTTCGAGAACAGGAAATTGTATTTGATTTGTTCGAATGAAATAATGATAGTATATTTTGACAGACATTTGTTTGGAAAAATGTAAAGAATAAAACTTTGGATTTCTTAATTCGAAGCTAGTTGTAGTGGTGGACATTACAAGTGCAATTGACGCTCTTAAAAACACGCTATTTCTTTTCGTGCTCAAAAGTTGCCGCAGAATGTACAGTTAACTTTTGCTAACATACTCATTCTCATGTGCCCTCACAATCGTAACATAATTATACGACAAATATCGAAAAGTGCGGTTAAAGTGAACACATTAATTTCTAACGTTTATATTCTCTAAGCTTACCTACAATGCCACGTGGAAAGCATCTATCCGATGAGAAAAAGGGAAAAATTTCCGCTTTCAAACCAACTGGTATGAATACTACTGACATTTCAAAAGAAATTCGTCGAACAAGGTGCGTTATTAGATCTTATCTGCAAAATCCGGACAATTACGGGAAAAACGGAGTACTGGGCCTAAGCCGAAACTATCGGGCCATGATAAGCGCTTTATTTTGTCCAAAGCGAGTAATTCGTCCATTTCCTGTACTAAACTCGCGGCACTTTGCAAAATCCAAAATGACCATCGGGCGGTTTCTAAATAAATCAGAATGCATTGTGCGAGCTAATATGAGAAAGGAGCCAACGCTGCAACCACGCCATAAAACTGCACGGCTTCAGTTTGCTCAAGATAATTTAAATACATCCTGGGACTCGGTATGTGTAACTAGCACCATATTCGTGTTTGCAGTTCCCAACCAAATTTTTTCAAAATAGGTTATATTTTCTGATGAATGGAAGTTTAGTTTGGACGGACCAGATGGCTGCCGTGGGTATTGGAGGGATTTGAGAAAGGAAACTCTCATATTTTCAAAACGAAACTTTGGGGATGGTTCAGTGATGATGTGGAGTGCATTTCATAAACATGGAACACTTGATCTTCGCTTCACAAGTTCTAAAATGAATAGTACAGAGTATATTGGAGTACTCGAGAACAGTCTTCTTCCATTTTTAGAGGAAAACAGAGAAAGACCGTGGATTTTTATGCACGACAATGCTGCCATCCACAAAAGTCTGCGAACAAAAACATTTTTGGAAGCTTGTTCTGTTGAAACAATGGACTGCCCAGCGTGCTCACCGGACTTGAACCCGATTGAAAATATTTGAGGAACACTTGCCAGACGTGTATATACGGAAAATAAAAAATTTGATTCAGTTGAAAACTTAAAGACTGCAATTTTAAGAGAGTGGGAGCAGTTGGAACAAAACTTTTTAATTCATTTTATTAATTCTATGCCTAAAAGATTGTTTGAAGTAGGGAAAGTGAGAGGAGGAGCCATATGATTTTAGTAAAATTAAATACAAACACTATTGGAAATATATATCTATTAAAAACGCCAATTGTCGTATAATTATGTTATGATTGTGAGGGCACATGAGAATTAGTATGTTAGCAAACGTTAACTGTACATTGTACAGCAACTTTTGAGCACGAAAAGAAATAGCGTGTTTTTAACAGCGTCAATTGCACTTTAATTCTGTGTATTTGTTTTTGCCAAAATGTTAACAACATAGCTCGGTCGAGGTAAAGAGCTAGGATTTTATAGGTGGCGTATAAAAGTGATACACACTATATACATGTATATATATCAGTGGTGCACAGCGTCGACAGAGCTACCAATACAAGCGCAAAATTTTTGTCTTAGTATGCGTACACTAGCAAACGCAAACTAATTCGCTGTTAGCAGCGCAACAGTTCGCTACCCTGCAAAAAATTGTGCGACTAATCTCTAACGAGATTGGGCATTAATTAGTCCCAACTAGTCTCATACGGGTACTAATGGAGGCCAAATTAGTCTCGACTAATCCCTTATAGGTATAACTGGAGATCAATTAGTCCCGGTTCGAATCTCAGCTGGCGCAAATTTTTATTTTAATTCTTTAAGAGTGACTAGTAGCTTTTTATACCCATTCGGGTATAAAGGTGAACAATTAGTCTCTTCATAGGACATGCTCGAACAAAAGCGATCAGTTCATTCCATATAAAGAGATCAAAAGTGGTATTAGTCGCATGCTCCTTTGCGATTGCTCCCGGAGTCATCCCGGATTAGTCCCATTTTCTGCAGGGTAGCTGCGCACACGTCTTGTATGTGAAAACAGAGTAGCTCCCGGAGACTCCCGCGTGCACCACTGATATATACATATGTATGTGTGTATATGCATTGTATGTTCCTTAATCTGGTGATGAGTAACAGTACCAGACCCACAAGAATGCGCATCGCCACAGGTACCATCAATAGCTGGGCAAGTTCGTGTATCAGCACCACCAGCAATGTCACCAGCAGCAGCAGCAGGTGTCGAGCGAGGGGTATGTAAATTACCAGCAATTGGCAGTATATCGGGTTTCTTAACATCAGAACGCGCGGGAATTAGACAAACCTTAGCTTTATGCCCCTTAGCATTGGCAGCAACAACACCCGCGTCAAAATCATTATCATAGGACAAAACCACAATATTAGTTGTGTTTTCGCATTCTCCAGCATTTGGTAACTGGTTAACAGCAGTATTTTGTGATGAGTAAACAGCGGCATTCTTGTTCTTCTCCTCTGCTAACGATTTAATTTCACTGCAAAGCTTTTCATTTACGCTCCGAAAATTTTCAGTTTGTTTTGTCAGTTCTTCAGCTAGCGCTCTCACTTTCGCTATTGTTATTGTTAGTATTTCTGTCTTTCTAACGAATAACTCCTGGTGCAATTTTATGTTGGCCAGTTTCTCGCTGAATTTCTCATCTATTTAACGGATTAATTGCTTCTCCTCCTTGCTATTTACTTTCAATGCTTCCTCAAATTCGTCTTAATACTCTTTCAGGTAAATTTTTTTTTCTTGACGTTCTCCGTGATGTCCCGAAAAACAAGATCGACATTTTGTATGTAGATGATGCACTCCGGGCAAATAAATTTAACCATAGGATGCGTTCCAATAATTGTCGCCTTGTAGTTATCCAAGCCGAAGCATTTTGTTGCTGAGTGAAATAATTTTCCACAAACGCCCTCACATCGCAAGCCCGACCCGCCTCGAATCAGTGATTTGCAAGTTACACACTTGTCATTATCGGGCATTTTTGCTTATTTCTGTTTATTATATTTTACGCCGTATGTGTGTATGTAAGTATTCACTTTAGCATGTATTTGTTCTTGCTTTTGATACACAAGCTTTTTATTCCGCTTATTACGATTCTATTCGCCGGTCTTTGGCCCAAAGCAGTTCGGCCAAACCAATATTATAATTAAATAAAACTGAAGTTTTATTGTTATATTGTCAATTTCAATTTATAATATATGGAAATCTGCTTACACAGTATGTTAATGTGTATATTTTCACAATTAATGTTGCTGAAGACTTAGTAAATGCGTAGAAAATTTGAGAATTTTCGGAGACAAAAAACGTACGAGCACACAAGCCGATGTAACAGGGTAAGAATTGAATATCTTCGTTATTACTCAACTTTTTGCTATAGTTGAGACATGACAAGATAGATAATTAAAATATATTTCGGAATTATAGAATAAAAACTTATTTAAAATGCATAATATGCCTTTTTTTCGAGCTCACTCAACTGTGTGCGTACGCACAGCATTCGCATGTGGCATTCAGCCAAATCAGTGTTGTACCAATGGCATGTAAACAAATCGACTAACGTTTTTACAGGAAATATTGCTTTTTGCGTTCCCGTGCACTTCTGCATCTGTTCTCCTTTTACTCTCACTTGAGAGAGTAGAATTGTAGTTTGACAGTTCCACAGGTTTCAGGGCCGTTTGCACCATGTCTAGTTAATTCTAACTCCCAGTTAAACATCTTTATCGACGTTATCGACACCCATCATATAACATGTGATCGATAAAGCAGTTAACGTGCTTAACTGAAGGATGTACCTCCAGTTAGCGTTAACTAGACATGGTGCAAACGGCCCTTAGTCCGTAGTTCAAAGGAACAGACTAACAAAAATTATTTTGTATGCTTCCAAACTCTTCACTCTAGGAACTATTCTAAATGTGGAGGGTTACAATCCGTAATTATCTAGGTGGGCTTTCAACCCCCAAAATTGGTCAAAATTTTGGAAAGGGGGTACCATTAGACGCGTCTGGTCCCCAATAACAAGAATCCGAAAGCGGAAATTAACTTTTTTTTACCCGATCAAAAGCTATTAACAAAAAATTTTGGGCGTTGAAAGCCCAACTAGATAATTACCATACCATACCATACATTCTATTAATATTATCTAAAATGTTATTGCACTAATAAATTGCTACTTTTTTGGTAGAAACGTTTAGTGCCAAAATATCATCTACAATACGATATTTATTGAAAAGATATTGACACTCTAAAACAATTTGGACAGATTTTAAACAGCAATTTCCAAAATTCTTGCACATACATAGCCTACCAACATAGTGAAATAATATAAAGTATGCCAGCCAATTTTATGTAAGCTTATTTCAAAGCAAATTTTAGTACCTCTGCACGATTTCGGTTTAGATCCTTATCCTGATGGACTGAAAACCTCAGTACTGCAACGGTCTGTGTGCTTTGC